TAGCCAGCTTAGTGAATTGTAAGAACCAAAGAAGATATAAAAGCTAGTTAAGAAAGTATCTGCTACTTCAAATGTGAAAGCAGACGCACATAGCAACAAACAATAAGGAAAATCAAGGAAATATGATTTCATAAAAAGAAAATGATATTTCTCCAGCAACTGAACTCAGAGGCATGGAATATTGCCAACTAACTGATAAAGAATTCAAAATAGCTGTTATGAAGAAATTCAACACACTACAAGAAAACCTAGAAAAACCATTTAGTAGAATCAAGAATAAAATTAATGAACAGAAAGAATTCTTTACCAAAGAGATTGAAATTATAAAAAAGAACCAAACAGAAATTATGCAGTTGACAAATTCAATGAATGAGATGAAAAATGCAATAGAGATCATCTGTATCAGGGCAGATGAGATGGAAGAAAGAATAAAGGATTTGGAGGATAGGAATATAGAAATAATTCAGTTAGAAGAGGAGAGGGAACTAAGATTTAAAAAGAGTGAAGAAAGCCTATGAGAGCTATTGAATTAAATCAGAAAGGCAAATATTCTAATAATTGGGGTTCCAGAAAGAGAAGAGAGGGAGAAGGGGGCAGAGAGTTTATTTAAAGAAATAGTAACTGAGAACTTCCCAAATCTGGGGAAGGACTTAGACATACAAATCCACAAAGCTAAGAGAACATCCTATTATCTCAATGCAAAAAGACCTTCTCCAAGAAACATTATAATGAAATTATCAAAAATCAATGATAAAGAAAGAACCTTAAAGGCAGCCAGGAGAAAAAAGAAAGTAATCTACAAAGGAACCCCCATTTGGTGATCAGCAGATTTCCAAACAGAAACTCTACAGGCCAGGAAAAAATGGAATGACATATTGAAAATACTGAAAGAAAAAAATTGCTAGCCAAGAATAGTTTATCCAGCAAAGTCATCCTTCAGATATGAAGGAGAAATATAGGCTTTCCCAGACAAACAACAGCTGAGGGAGGTCACCATCACTAGACCTGCCTTGCAAGAAATGCTCAAAGGAGGTCTTAATGCTGAAGTAAAAAGATGCTAATCAGTGATGTGAAAACATATGAAAGTGCACAGCATACTGATACAGGTGAAAAATAGACAGTCAGAAGTAGAAAACTGTAACTCTATATTAGGATGGTGTGTTAACCACTTAACTACAGTATAAAAGTTAAAGAAAAAGAGTAGTAAAAATGACTATAGCCTCTATAAATTGTTAATGAATACATGAAATAAAAAGTAAATTCTAACATCAATAATATAAAAGGGAGAAGTAAAAAGGTGAAGCCTTTATAGGCATTCAAAGATAATTTGCTATTAGTCTAAAATGGACTGTTTTACCTACAAGATGTTTTTTGTAATCTACAAGGTAACCATGAAGCAAAAACTGAGAGTAGATCCACAAAAGACAAAGAGAGTGGAAAAAAAGCATACCACCACAGAAAATAACCAATTCACAAAAGTAGGCAGAGACAGAGGGAAAAATAAATAATGTAAATACAACACAACCAGGAAGCAATTAGTAAAATGACATTAGTAAATCCTTACATATCAATAATCACTCTAATGTAATTGGATTGAATTCACCAATCAAGAGGAACAGAGTGGCTGGATGAATTAAAAAAACAAGACCCAACTATATGCTGCCTACAAGAGACACATTTCAGCTTTAAAGACACACATGGGCTCCAAGTAAGAGATGGAAGAAGATGTTACACACAAGTGGAAACCAAAAGAAAGCAGAGGTAGCCATAGTTATATCAGACAAAATAGACTTTAAGACAAAAATGGTATCAAGAGGAAAGAAGGTCATTATATAATGATAAAAGGGTCAATATATTAAGAAGATATAACAACTGTAAATATATATGCACCCAACATTGGAACACCTGAATATATTAACCAAATACTAACATCTGAAGGGAGAAATAGACAATAATACAATAATAGTAGAAGATTTCAATACTCACTTCCAGCAATGGATAGATCATCCAGACAGAAAATCAACAAGGAAGCATCAGAATTGAATTATACTTTAGACCAAATGGACTTAACACATATCTACAGAACATTCCATGCAATAGCAGCAGAATACACATTCTTCTCAACTACACACAAAATATTCTCTAACTTTGAGAAGGTCTTTGTGCCTAGAGGGTAGCATGTGTGATGTTGAGTGTCAGGACATGAGTCTGCAATGAGAGGTCAGGGCCAAACTGTCAAGCATGCTGTGGACTATGCTGAAGAGTTTGAATTCTATCTTGCAGGCCAGTTTTCCCAATAACTCTTTTAACATCTGTCTTTGCCTCACCCTTCTCTGTCTTTCTAGTTCAGGCTCTGATCATCTCTCACAAAGACTACTGCAATAGTCTTTCAAAGGATCTCCCTCTCCCTGCTCCCGCACCATCTAACCTGTCCTCTACCCTGCTATCTGGATGACCTAAATGCACATCTAACCCTGTTATGAGCTGAATTGTGCCCCGCCCTCTGCCTTCCAAAATTCATATGTTGAAGTCCTAATCTATAGTACTTCAGAATGTAACCATATTTGAAGATAGGGTCTTTAAAGAGGTAACTAAGTTAAAATGAGGTCATTAGGTGAGCCCTAATCCAATATGACTGGTGTCCTTATAAGAAGAGGAGATTAGAACACAGACAGGTACAGAGAAAAGGCCATGTGAAGACACATGGAGAAGATGGCCATTTACAAGCCAAGGAGAGAGGCCTTAGAACAAACAACCCTGCCAACACCTTGATCTTAGAATTTAGCCTCCAGAATTTAAGAAAATTAATTTCTGCTGTTTAAACAACAATAACAAAAATTCTCCAAGATAGATCATATGACAGGACACAAAACAAATCATAGCAAATGTAAGAATATTTAAATCATACCAACTATCCTTTCTGACCACTATGATATGAAATTAGAAATAAACAACACGGAAAACTGGAAGATCTACAAATATGTGGAAACCTAACAACACGTGTCTCAACAACCAATGGGTCAAAGAAGAAAAGGAAAATTTTAAAATGTCTTAAAACCAATGAAAATGGAAACACAACATACCAAAACCTATGGGATGCTGCAAAAGTAGTTCCAAGAGGAAAGTTTAAGCTATAAATACATACATTAAGCAAGTAGAAAGTTCTCAAATAAACAACCTAAAAACCTCAAGGAACTAGAAAAAGAAGAACAAGTTAAGCCTAAAGTTAGCAGAAGGAAGGAAATAATAAAGATCAGAATAGAAATAAAGAAATAGAGACAAAAAAATAATAGAAAGGAACAATGAAACTAAGAGTTGCTTTTTCAAAAAGATAAACAAAATGGGCAAACCTGTAGCTTAACTAACTAAGGAAAAAAGAGAGAAGTCTCAAACAAAATTAGAAATTAAAAAGGAGACATTACAACTGATACAGAAATACATAGGATCATAAGAGTCTACTGTGAACAATAATATGGCAACAAATGAGACTGCCTAGAAGAAATAGATAAATTCCTAGAAACACACAATGTACCAAGACTGAATCAGGAATAAATCTGAACAGACCAATAACAAGTAAAGAGATTGAAGCAGTAATCAGAAACTTCCCAATGCAGAAAATCCCAGGAACAGACAGCTTCACTGGCAAATTCTAACAAACATTTAAAGAAGAATTAACATTAATCCTTCTCAAACTCTCCCAAAAAATTGAAGAGGGAATACTTCCAAACTCATTCTACCAGGCCAGGGTTACCCTGATACTAAAGACAGATAAGGACCCTACAAGAAAGGAAAATTATACCACAATACCCCCAGTGAAAATAGATGCAAAAATTCTCAACAAAATATTAGCAAATCAAACACAAAAAACGTTAAAAGGATTATACACCATGACCAAGTGGGATTTATCCCTGGGATGCAAGAAGGGTTCACATATACAAATCAATAAATGTAATACATCACACATTAATAAAATAAGAGATAAAAATCACATCACCATCCCAATAGATGGCAGAAAAGGCATTTGACAAAATAAACATCCTTTTATGATAAAAACTATCCACAGATTGGATATAGAAGGAACATACCTCAACATAATAAGGGATATATACGACAAACCCACAGCTAACATTATACTCAACAGTGAAAACTTGAAAGCTTTTCCTCTAAGATCAGGAAGAAGACAAGGATTCTCACTCTTACCACTCTTATTCAGTATAGTACTAGAAGTCTTAGAGCAATTAGGCAAGACAAAGAAATAAAAGGCATCCCAAACAAAAAGAAAGACGTAAAATCATCATTATTTGCAGATGATATGATTTTTATATAGAAAATCCCAAAGATTCAACCAAAAAACTGGGGGATCTAATCAAATTCAGTAATGTTGCAGGATATAAAATAAACATTCAGATTTCAGTTGCATGTCTATATACAGTCACGCACCACAGAATGACATTTTGGTCAACAGTGGACCTCATATATGACAGTGGTTCATAGGTTTGTGTAAGCATGCTCTATGATGTTCACACAATGATGAAATGGCCTAATGACACATTTTTCAGAATGTATCCCTGTCAAAAAGCAACACATGACTGTACTAATAATGAAACATCTGAAAAAGAAATAAAGAAAATTATTTCATTCCCAATAGCATCAAAAACAATAAAATACCTAGGAATAAATTTAACCAAGGGAGTGAAAGAACTGTACAACATAACTGCAAGAATTTTTTGAAAGAAATCAAAGAAAACACAAACAAATGAAAAGACATCCCATGTTCATGGATCAGAAGAATTATTATTATTAAAATGTCCATACAACCCAAAGCCGTCTATAGATTCAATGCAACCTCTATCAAAATGCCAATGACATTCTTCAGAGAAATAGAAAAAAACAATCCTAAAATTTGTATGGAACCACAGAAGACCCCAAATAGCCAAAGCAATCCTGAGAAAGAACAAAGCTGGAAGCATCACACTACCTGATTTCAAACTACACTACAAAGCTTTACTAATTAAAACAGTATGGTACTGGTATAAAAATAGACACATAGACCAATGGAACAGGAGAGAGAACCCAGAATTAAACCCCTACATATATGGCCACTTAATAAGGGAGAGAAGATCATCCAATGGGGAAAGGATAGTCTCTTCAACAAATGGTGTAGCAAAACTGAATGAATACATGCAGAAAAATGAAATTAGAACTCTATCTTACACCACTCACAAAAATTAACTCAAAACGAATCAAAGACTTAAACATAAGACCTGATATCATAAAACTTCTAGAAGAAAATGTAGGGAAGAAGTTCCTTGACGTTGATATTAGGAATGATTTTTTGGAGATGACACCAAAAGCACAAACGACAAAAGTGAAAATCAACAAATCACTAGTCCTTTGAGAGTATGCTTAGGAGTATCACATTGAGGTCTTATTTCGCATTTATTTTTGCATTGCCAATTCCGGAAATCTTTGCTCTTTTTACCTTTGTCAATGTGATACCCAAACTCATTTTTTGGTCTCAGAATTTATTTGTATGAATTAATATTTGCCTCAATGATTTTTTCAGTAATATGAAGATAAAGGAGAAAGATAAGGAGAAGATAAACTCTATCAAAAAGAGTTGACATCATAAATAGAAGATTGGAGTTAATAAACATATGGTATCAGAAACAGAATCATATAAACGCCCAGGCCCTATTCTCAAACATTCTGATTCACTTGTCATGAAATGGTGTCTAACTTTTAGTAAAATTTTGTTTGATCTGAGAACCACTGATTAGCTCATGCTTTGTCTTCATTTCTCCAGAGGAAAGTGCTTTCCCTGATAAGAAAAGAGGACCTTCTAGAGACAAAAAGGCTAGGTTTGGAAAGCCGCTTGATGCAAGATAGTTATCAAGTAATTTAAACTTTCTTGGTGTCAGTTTTTATCTCTGAAAACTGGAATATAATAAATGCCAACCTCTCAGTATTGTTTGGAGGAGTATATGTGATAATGTATATGATTTTTTTTTGTTATACTAATAGCTACCTTTTAGTTCTATTCACTAATTCATCCGTGTTTCCATTAATTCAATAAGTGTTTATTGAGCACTTACACTATGCCAGATGCTGGTGATTAATTAGAAAACAAAAACATATGCCCTCCTAAAGCCTAGATGCTGGAGGTGGGAAAAAACTATAAATAGATAGATTGATAGATAACATAATGGCAGAAATCATTAAGAGTCACGTAGAAAAACACATAATGGAAATAAAATTTAAAAGTCAGGGGGCATTCCCTTTTAGTTTAGATAATCAAAGAACTTTTGAGGATGTACATTTGTGTAAAGACCTCAATGAAATGAGGAAATAAGCTACTGGAATATCTGCATAGAATATTCCATTCAGAAGAAACAATGAAAAAGCCCTGAGGTGAGTATCGTTTCTGTTGTTGTTTGGTTTTGGTTTGGGGGGTTTTTTGAGATTAGCAGTAAACCAGGGACCTAATAATGTAGTCTAACAAGGTATAATGTAGACTGCTTTTTATTTTAAGGATTGAAAGAAATCATCGTAGGTCTTTAAAAAGCGGAATGATGTAAACCAACTTTATTTTCTTTAAAGGATCATGGGTCCTTCAAGTTCAGTGACATTATGCCATTTTACAAATTAGAGACGAGATTTCAGAGAATTTCAGTTTTTGTGCATCATAAAAAGTATAAATAGTTTCATTTTGTTTTGATTTTACTCCACATTCTTGGTATTATGAGAACTTATAAAATTGTTATTATATTTTACAAGTTTTCTCAGTGACTTTGCTGATACTATTTTCAATCCCAATTTATTTTCAGTGATTTGATAAGATGGCAGTAAGAATGGGGAAACCCAAACTCAGATGAGATTATAACAGAAATTTGGATTCAAGAAGCATAAGATATGGGCAGAAAATGACCAGCACTTTGTTGTTTCTGGGGAGTAAAGGGTGCAGGGCACGGCAAAGCCTGGTGAGATGGGCTGGGGCTTCTGGGAGAGATTTGTCTGCCATTTTGAGTAGCATGGACTCAACCTTTGAACCAGATATTCCTTCAAAACCAAAATCTTTAATGGCGGATTTTTAGGTCAAAAGCCTTGAAATTACTAACCTCTTGACAGACTATGGGAAATCACAATGAATGAGCTAATTCTTTAAAAGTAAGAATATACTTTATACACTCATACATACACACACAAAAATCACTTTAGAACAAACTGAAAATAATGAATCGTAACTATTGCAAATATTGTCATTCCCTGCCCAAAGTCTTGATTTTTTTTATCCTTGGATTGAAATTACTTACTGAAGAAAGATCACCTCTAGTTCCTTTCTGAAGTATTTCAAAGGTCAATAATTAATTACTGTGGATTAATACATAAATTATAGCTTTAAAGTCCTTAAAAGTCGACCAGTTTCACCTTTTTTCCGTTTAATTAGAAACAACCTGTTTTCACATTCCAGGAATCTGTCAAAATTTTGGATGTGATTTAACCACCATGGGACCTGGCAACCAAGTCTGCTAATATAAATCAACAAGTTACAGCTAGTTGCCTGAAGAAAATATTCCTGACTCTCTTCTGTCTGCCTCCATATCTCCATGACTTTAAATTGTTCTGACAAGCAGCACATAGTTTCTTTGGAATGCATATCTCTTCTATAAGGAAATCACAGTAAAGGACATGAATATAGTTGACAACAATGACCAGATTTTCACACATTCCATTCTATTTTTAGATTGTTGCTGAGCCTTAGCACAGCTGGTTTTCCAGAGTATAAAGAAATAATTTACCATTCTCATGGTATTATACATCGTATCACTGTCTCTCTTTTACTGTGCAAAGTAATTTAAATCTTCCATGTCACAGGTTGGTATAATAGTAAACCTTGATTTCAGCCTTTTCACTTTATGAAAATACTTTGGTATTGTTTGCTTTGGTTTGGATGGCTGTCACATTTACAAAAAGGAATTACAAAATGAATAGCATTATCCACCTTTAAAAATCTTGGCTTCAGGGATACATATTAACATGAGAAAGTCAAGTCTCTAAACAAGAGTGAGAGTTAAAACAACTGTATAAAACATTGTTCAGTTGTACACAGAAAAGTTTTCATCAGCTGACTACCTGTATCACTAGCATTTTAGGACTGTCCTACTGACTTGCAGCTGGCTACAATTCTAATAGAGTTTGAGTTCTTGGTCTATGTTCAAATATAAACTTATTTCATATTGTAGGTGTTATGTTCATTCTTGTTGCCATTTAGTAGTTGTAAACATTGTAATAGGTTCTATTGTCTCTCTGTACTCCATTAACACCTCATTTTTTATTAGTTTTTCTGGACCCAAGTGGCAATGGAATAGTGTAGTTTTTTTGTTACAAATTGTTACAGTTGTTACCAGATGATCTCAAGTTGATCTTATGAAATGTTCTAACCTTTTTCTCAGGCTTTCTGGAAATGACCCTAAATGACGTGGGTGCTGGCAAACATCTTCACAGCATGTATATGTACAAAAGAAGGACCTGTGAAAAGAGCATGACCCTTTCCAGGAACCAAAATTTCATGAGGTTGAACCAGCATGTGACAGAGATTATTATAAGATGGAACTGAAGAAATGAGCTGGAACCAGAGATCTAATAGGCATATTAAAGATTTTGGTCCTTTTCTCAGAAAACCAGGAAGCCACCAAAGGGTTTCAAGATGACACATGATCTCATTTCAGTTTTAGAAATATTATTTTGGCTGATGTGGAGTAGGACAAGAATAGATATGAGACAAGCATAGTCAAAATGCATACGTGATAAATGAAGCCAGAATTGGGCCATTTTAGGGACCAGGGTAAAGATGTTTCATTCCCATCAAACTTCCTGCAGAATTAATCCTGAATCTACAGTCAAAACAGCATTCTTTGACCTTAAAGCCTTTATCATATATTAATTTACAAATATCCTTAGAAGGATATGAGATGTTGCTTAATGGATATAGAGTTTTAGTTTTACAAGATAAAGAGAGTTCTGGATATCGGTTGCACAACACTGTGAATGTACTTAACACTACTTAGTGTTTAAGATGGTGAGTTTTACGTTATGTGTATTTTACCAAAATTAAAAATTTTTTAGAAGTCAAAAATAGGGGGAGATATTTGTGAGTCACTTAACTGTTTACAAAACACTTCTATCATAGTTTTTTAACTTTGGTCCATATCAAGAAGGCAATATTAGTCTCATCAACAGATTAAAATACTGAAACCCAGATCTGTTAAATGAATTGCCTGAGGTTAAACAGAAAAACTCTATTTTGAATTCAGGACCTTTGATATATAATCCCATATTGTTTCTACTACCTCAAAAAAGTTCTGGAAACATATTTCAGCACTAGAAGAAGGTAGGGAAAAGGTTTTATCATTGAGTAAAACCTAGAAAGTGTATGTCAGAAGTCAGGTAAGAACAAATAATTGTAAAATGTCTGGGAGCCTTGAAAACAAATTCACCTACGTCAAGTCATACTTTTACCTATGTTCCACCCTGCTTGGTGTAACAGCATCTCATTTATCAAAAAATACCTAGTATTGAAGAAAGACACCACTCACCTTATTGTAAGCAAGAGTTGTAAAGCTAGTAAGAGGAAAAGAAATCAGTCTCAGGAAAAGAAGTAAAAAGCATGTGGAAATACATGAAAACCACCCAAATGAGAACAAGCAGAGACTATTTAGAGCTTACTGTCCAAGGGAATTAGGCACCATCACTTGCCTTTGGCAGAGATTCAAAGTGAAGGAGGGAGTGGGAAAGCTTTATAGCGACTAAAAGAGAAGGCTTAAATTCTGCTCTGATTGGGAATTTTTGGTATGGGGAAGCTGGATGTAGGCTACCTATAAGTGGGGCATCCTATGTTCCTATGTGATTGGTTTAGAGATACTTGGCTTTCTCTGGTTGGTCCCAAGGAACAAAAATTAGGGAAGCTGACAGTCATTGATCAAGTCCTGACCATTCAGTGCTGAATGATTCAGAGGTTGTGGTTTAGCTTCTTGGGCTGTTTGCTGCAGAGATTATAGGTCAAAGTTCAACTGTCATACATGGTCCATTGTATATTCATTCT